ATCAGAGGTGAGTCACAGAATCAACAGATCATGTCTTCAATCCCACCGCAGGTATCACTCGCTGTCCCTCACCTTCGCCTCCATTTCCATCACAAACAGTGGCCGCGAATGACAGACAACCCCTCACTTTGACTCTCAATTGTGTGGCTATCGATTAGACATCACTTGACAGCACATGACTGCCATTCTTCTGGTCTTTCGGCTGCCTTTGGATATGAACTTAAAACTAACTGTTCGTTGAAACCCAAGCCCTCGACGGCTACTATTACTCAACAAATGACTCACGAGTTTTTAATAAAGAATCACAAGAAAGTGGAATCCATTTCACAATACGGCGGCGTTTAGGACATCAAAGCCGAGGCCACAGACACTCCCGGAGCGGACACTGAGACCGACCCAACACAGGCCGACACCGGAGAGAATTACTATCAACAGCTGATGAAGAATCGCAAACAAATCGCAATTTTATTTAAAATGCAATGAATATAACATAAAATAAATTAATTAGAAATTGAAACTTAATTTGTCGTAAAATTATTTTATTAAACACTCATTTCTCGTATAATTTAAATGTTTTTTCTGACGAGTCTTCAAATCGCATGGCTTTAGCCTCTGATTGATGTCATATCGCAGTCAGTGTCCGGCGATTAGTCCTACGTTGAGCTCGAAGGCCAGCCAACGACCAGAGGTATAACAGCCGTGAAGTACCCGCCAAGTGATGTCTTAATTGTCCATTTGATGCGAACTCTTCATATGTGAGTGAAGGTTAGCCGCGTAGGCGTAACTGTGTGTACATCCGGGCCAATGACACGCATAGGGCTTAACGTTGTTATGAATATTCATGTGTTGTTTTAAAAGGATTGATTGTTTGAACCGTTTGCCACACTCTGGCCATAAACACGGGAACGGCGTCTCACCCGTGTGTTGCAGTCTATGCCGACCAACGGCAACGCCCGTCCACTCACATCCCGGCCAATCGCACGGATGCTTGCGTTTCAACAATGTTTTCAAGTTGTGTACAGAGACCTGATGTTTATGGCGTTGCGCTCTCGTGAAGAACCTCTCATCGCATCCATTGGTGGAGCACTTCCACGTGGGTTCGCTTCCATGGGTTCTTCGGTGAACGCGCAGTCCCTGCAAAGAGGTCAGTGTCTTCTCGCAGCCAATGAAATCGCACGCAAATTGGTTGCAGTTATGTCTCCTGAAGTGCTCCGTCAAGATTGTGTTGTTATGCGTCCGAAACTGACAGCCATTGTAATCACATTTAAACGGTTTATCACTCGAATGTGTGGTCATGTGATACTTGAGTCCACCCAAGTTTGGATACTGTTTATCACATCCATTGAATTCACATTTGAATGTCTTCGAGTGCTGTCTAAACAAGTGTTGACGCAATGCAGTGTCTGTTTTAAAAGTCTTGTAACAATCAGTTTTCGCACATTTGTATAAATTTGTGGTCAAATCAAACATTTTTTGTCTTTCATTGTAATCATTATTAAGTGATTTATCCTTTAAATGTGTGGTCATGTGATACTTGAGTCCACCCAAGTTTGGGTACTGTTTATCACATCCACTGTATTCACATTTAAATGTGTTGGTGTGTTGTCTAAACAAGTGCTGTCGTAATGCAGTGTCCGTTTCAAAAGTCTTGTGACAATCAGTTTTCGGACATTTGTATGAATTTGTGGTCAAATCAAACATTTTCTGTCTTTCATTGAAATCTGGTGTCAGAAGAGAGTTCAGAATTGAACCACTTTTTGTTGGTTTATGTCTTTTGATTGCTTTCTTTGTCTTCGTTTCGACATAACTATCGTCTGATTCTTCGCCCAATTCTTCGACATAACTCTCGTCCGACTCTTCACTCATGTCTTCGTTCTTATCATTCATTTGTTTGGCATTTGTTTTAGTGTTAGTCTTGACTGAAGTCTTGTTATGCTTTCGTTTAATGTCTTCGACGACTGGTTTACAAATCACTCGTTTATTACTAGACTTTCGCTTCAATTGTCTTCTTTTGCGGACAAATCTTTCATCAATTGATTGTCTTTTCGTGGATTCACTCGACTCTCGATGACTGTCTTCGGCGATGAGTTTTTCGACAAAGGTTTTATTCTCTTCACATTTAATCATCAATTCATCCAATGGTTGAGACAATACCTCGAAGTCGTGATTGTCTTCACAATCGATAAGTGTTTCATATTTTGAGTGAATTTTATTTAAATGTGTTTTCAATTGATTTAAACATTTGTTTGCAAACAATAACTCATTTAAAAGTCGTTTGTTTTCAACCATTAATTCACACAAAATATCATTAATACTAATATTGAGTGACTTTTCACTAATCATTGAATCCATTATTGAATTACAAATAC